GCAACCATCAATGTGGCATTTTAAGGTTTTTAAAGCACTTGACAAATATTATCTCATTTTATCCTCAAAACAACCCTGGGAGGCAGATGCTGTGACCATTCCCCTAAGAGGAAGGAATTGAGAAAGCCAGAAGTCAACTGGCCTGCCCAGAGTGACACAGCTAATAAATCACATTCGCGCAGTCATGGCTAGTCTGAAGCTGGACTCAAACTCAAGTCCTCCTAACTCTGGGCGCACTGCTTCACTTGCTGTGCCACCCACCTGCCCTAGTCCTAGTAGAAAAAATACATGAACAAACAAATAAATAAAAATCATAGAGCAGTTGCTTTCTAGCAACTGCGAGGGATAGATTGAAACTGTGGCAATCAGAGAGGCAAGAGGATGCGTCAGAAGTTAGACACTAGGAAGAACTTGCCAGTGAGTCAGGAGTACCAAGAAAAGGTGATGGAGGAGGGCAGTGGCAGCTGCATTCTGGGAGATCTCACAATAGCAGGGACCCCCACCTAAAGAAGGGGACAGCCTTCCTAGAAAAAGGATGTAGAAAAGCTGATGCTGGGGCAGCTAGGTGGCACAGTAGATGGCACACCAGCCTTGAAATCAGGAGGACCTGAGTTCAAATCCAGCCTCAGACCAAACACCTGCCGTTTACTAGCTGTGTGACCCTGGGCAAGTCACTTACTATCAATTGCCTAAAAAACCAAAAACAAACAAGAAAAGATGATGCTTTGGGAGGGAGACTGGGACTCTGAGTTTGGCCACTCTCCCCATCTCAGCTCCTCCATCCCCAAGCCTCACTTTTTCTCTGACCTCCCTATAGATTCACAGAGTGTTAAAGCTGAGGGTCCTTAGGAATCACCTTTTTTGTAAGATCACAGATTCAGAATTGGAAGAGATTTTAAAGAACGTCTAAGCATGTTAGCATCCTTATTTTGCTGAGGAGAAAACTCAAGCTTGTGCTGGTAAAATGACTTGCCCAAGGTCACAGAAATAGTAGGTGATAGGAGCTGGTCTTTCCGACAGACCAGTTGTCTTCCATCTCTTTGATTTATAGATGACACAGCTGTGGCTGGAGGGGGGCGGGGGGGGGGGGGTAACTTTCCCAAGATCACACAGCTCCTTACTGGCACAGTCAGGACACGTACTCAGGTCTTCTAACTCCAACTATAGTACCTTTCTTATCTCATTATGCTATCTCTTTTATAGCATCGGGAATGTTTACCCTCTCAACAAGACAGCCCTAGAGAGCAGTGGGGGTATCACCCTCTTCCCCTTCCTAGCCCGAATATTTCATACAATTGGAAAGATTTGAGAATAGCAAGAGAATAGCAATTCCCTACTTATTTGCTTGGAGCTCACATCTGATTTTCCCCAACCACCAAATTTAATGGGATGTTTTAATTCATTAGCTTTCCTGAGGTAGCTGCCCCACCCCTCAGATGCTAAGAATGACTTATCTACCAGCTGTTCTGGCTGGATGTCAAGGCAAAGGACTTTGCTCCCCCATAGCATAGTATTCTCACCTTAGCTCCTCTGCATAGCTGGGAAATTTGAGCGTTCCCCAAATAGCATACTCCTGAGGCCCTGATGCTTTGGAAGTGGGTAGGCCAGGATCCAGGCCTCCTGGGCTCTTAGGGCCCTGAGGCCATCAGTGACAAGGTAACACATACTTTTTGCAAACATGAATAATTATAGATCAATCTTTGTGGGGAGAAGGAGGGAGCTGTTCAGAGGGCTGGATGTTTAGCTTTAGCGATGGGAAATAACCTTATGGTTCAGAAAGTGAGAATTGGAAGGGACCTTGGAGGTCAGGTAGTCCCATCCTTTCATAGTACAGATGAGGAAACGGGCCCAGAGAGATACCAAACTTGGCCAAGGTCACACAGATGGGACTCAAGCTAGGTCCTTCCACTGCGAATCTTTCATTTGTTTCACTGCACTATGTTGCCTACAATACCCAGGGCTGAGGCATGGGAAGAGGGAAAGGTGGTGGTGCTTCCCCTCAAACCCCCAAAACCAGAAATATCTCCTCTTTCCCTAAATCAGCCATGATCACAGGCATCCAGACACAGTGAGAGGAAACCACACCCCCAAGCTGTGTAGTTGCCCAACACAAACTCATTGAATCTCAGCATACCCAGGGCTAGTCTTGGACAGAACAGAGAAGGTTCCCATAAGAAAGGACTCTTACATGCTGATCTCACAGCCCAAGGACTCAACCCCTTCTCCCAATACAGGCTAGAGAAGGAGCCTTGTACTGGGGAGATGAGGGAGAAGAGAAGGGCATGAAGTGTGGTACGGAGAGGAGTTGACTCAGAAAGGAGAGGGAATATGGTGGGACAGTGACAAGGCAGGGACAGTACTTGGGGAGGTTCCTAAGTCTTGCCCCTAATTTGCCACCCACCATATCCCTGAAATCCTTTTTCATGCTTAAGACACCTGGACTCCCCAGCAAAACACAGGAAGACCTGGGATGTGGGTGGGGTCAGGGAAAAAAGAAAAAGAAAAAGAATTCAAAACTAGGAACCAGTAAGCAATAGAGATGGGGAAGAGAGGAAAGAAACAATGATATGGATGGAAGAGGAGTTAGGGCTGGAGACTGTGGGGGAGAGTAGCATGGAGAAACCCTGAAGAAAGGCTCCTTTAGAGCATCAGCCCTAGAACAGCAAGAGTCCTAGCTATCTTTCGTCTATTTAGAGAATTAGACTGTTTTTATTCCCATCTCTAAAGTGCCTCTCAAGACACCAAGCCTCTCTGTGAGAAATGGGGACCTTTGTCCCCCTCCCTGCTGTCCACCATGCATTCCCACCAGACTTCCTTACCTGTCCTGGGGAAGAAGCTGCCACCTGGGAGAGCTTGGGGATCTGAACTGGGCTGCCTACGGGAAGAGGACCTTTGTCCCTACTCCGCCCCCCTCTTTCTCTTAGCAATTGCCATCACCATATAAGGAAAGATAGGGCCCTAGAGAGGGAGAGGATGGGGTGATTGGGGGTGTGTGAGGAGGCAGGTGCCTACCAGGTCCCCCGAGAGTCAAGAGCCTACAATTTGACAGCTACAACCAGATGTACCCCCATCTCCTGGCCCTCTGATTGGTGCGGGCCAGTGGTACTGGGGGTATTCCCCAACCCCAGAGAACTCTAAGAACAATGGACATGGTGGCGTGGGGGGTTTGAAGGGATGGGGGACCCCCAGATGGGGGACAGCTGCCATCCATTAGAAAAGTACTGGACTTGGAGTTAGAACTTTTCAAATCGTGACTCTTGACACAAGCTGTATCACCCTGGTCTCCAGAGCCCTTAAAGGGATGCACTAATGCTTTTATTACCTACCTCACAGGGGAGTTGTGAAGAAAGTACTTTGCAAGCCTTAAATCACTATGCCAACATGGGTTACTATTATGGCCAGACCCAAGTGGTCCCCAACACACTAACTATAAAGGCTCAGCCACCTTGTGTTAAAATCTAGATGAAATGGTTAATACTATATGGCAAGACGCCTGGGTTCTATGATCCTAGATGGGGTGAGGTAGAAGGTCATATTGGGAGTATGCAGAGGAAATAGTTTACAGACAAACCTTCCCCCCCAAAAAAAAAGAGTGAATCTAGACCCTAGGTCTCTCAATTGATTTTGCTGTGTGTCCCCAGGTCAGTTACTACTTCACTCTGGGTATTCAGCTGGCTACCTGGTCTCTTGGAGTCACCTAAGAAGGGAATAAGTGCTCTCTCAATATGCCAGTCCATGCAGTTCCTTTCTGCCCCACCCTTTGCTCCTGCCATAGGGCGTTGCTTCTGGCCTGTTTATGAACAGTCATAAACCAGAGGCCTTGTCTTCTGCTCAGCTCCACCCCACCCACTCCACAACATCACCCTGAGCCTTAGCCCACGCTCACTGCCCCTCTTCTGGCCCCCTTCTTGCCCTCCTGGAGCCACCACCTGAATCAGTACCCCATCCAGGAGAGATAAGAAAAAAGCTGCATCTATTTAGCTCTTTTCTACTCTCGGGCTTCTCTCAGACTTTACCTCTTCCCTCTCCTCTCTCTCTGCTATTCTTTCTGTGTCTTCCAATATCTGGAGTCAGTAAGAGATCAGTGGGAGGTCTGGAGGGCAGTCTTCAAGTACATAAAAGAGAGATTGGCCTTGTTCAGCTTGAGCTAGAGAGCAGAACTGGAAACAATAGGTAGTAGTTTCAGAGAATCAGAAAGGTAGAATGAGTTGTCTCAGGGAGTAATGACTTCCCACTTATAGATCTTCAGACTGAGACTGGATATGGGGCTCTTAGCTGGCTGCTGAGGTTCCTTCTGTGAATCTAGGGTCTATCTGTAGCCCATGCCCCACAATCCCCAGCTCCCTGTGTAAGGGACTTACAACCTACCCTTACCTGGTGGTGGCGTCAAAGGTTTGAGCCTCATGACCCACGCAGGCTCAAACTGGGCTCCAGAGCCCAACCCAGGGTTTCTTAACCTGGCTTTAAGGTGTAATGTGGAGGGGTGGGGAAAAGGATGTAGGGTGATGATCCATGCTGCAAAAATAGTAAGGGAATGTGGGGAAGGGAATATTCATAGGGGCAGAAAGATCTGACTCTCTCTGTTCTTAGAGGTGATGAACTTCAGGCATAAAATGAGGAAGTAATATGGGGGAATAATTTGCATAGAAAAGGGGAAGTAGGGCAGAATGGCTATCCTGGGTCCTATTCAGAGGTGGGTTTCTGGGGCATGCCGGCTGTGCCCAGGCTCCAGCTCTGTGCCAGCAGCCCACTCCTTACACTGGAGCTGCCCATGTTCTGGGCTCTTCAGGGGCAGAGTTGGCTTACCCAGTCTCTGGGGACTCCCAGTTGCTGTAGCTGCTGCCTCTGATGCTCCTGCTTCCTCCCTCTTTTTCTCCCTCATTTCTGCTTCTCAGTTTTGACTTGATTGTCCCTGCCACCATAAGGGGTGAGGTTCAGACACCTTAGGTTCAAAGTCTAAGTAGAATGGCTAGTGCTACAAAGCAGTAAACTTGGATTCTAGAATCCCAAGCCCTGGGGGATGTGGGTGGGACAGAAGGGTATTTTGGAGATATGGAGAGGCTCTCTTGCTTTTGCTTCCCAGAGTCTCCCCAGAGTCAATCAGCTGGCATGTCTACTTGATGGAGTTCAGCTCTGGTCCAGGTCAGGCAGAATGTTTAGGTTCCTTTTTAGAGATGGAGAAGTAGAATGTTTTTTTAATTTTATTTAAACACATTATTCTGAGAAGAAGCCCATAAGTTATACCAAACTACCAAAGGGATCCATGGAACAAAAAAAGTTAGGAATCCCATCTGGGAGGCATTAGAGTTATTTTTTAATTTTTTAAATTAATTTTTATTCTGAATTTAAGAAACACCAAATAGATTTTGCATTTGCATACCTGTATACATAAATATACATATATTTGTATATTTCTGTTCTCTCTGAAGCCTCAGGAAAGAGGTTTGCACCTGAAACTGCAGACCTCTTACGTTACTGCCTGCCTTTCCTTCCCCCCCCCTCCCCAGGTAATTGGGGTTAAGTGACTAGCCCAGGGTCACACAGCTAGTAAGTGTCAAGTGTTTGGTCTGAGGCTGGATTTGAACTCAGGTCCTTCTGACTTCAGGGCCAGTGCCCTAGCCACTGCACCACCTAGCTGCCCCTGTGCCTTTCCTTTTAAGTATGTACAGAGGTGTCTCTATAACTTCCAAAGCTGTCCTACTTATCTGAGCTCCTCTCCAGCCTTCCTTTTGTTGATTCTATCCTATTTATCCTGTATATAGCTTTTTGCATGTTGCCTCCCCCCTTAGATTGTAAACTTCTCAAAAGCAGAGACTATCTTTTACCATTTTCTTTGTCCCCTCTGAACTTAGTAAAGCGTCTGGCACAGAGTAGATGTTTGCTAAATGTTTACTGACTGCCTTCTGTTCTCTTCCCTTCGTTATAAAAAAAATTATAAGTGAGACAGGAATTTTGCAAGAGATGTTAGAGCAAGGAGTTCCCAACCCTTTCTGGTCATGGCCTTTGGATTTCCAACAAACCTTCTCATTCCCCCCACTTCAGTATGAAAAGAAATCAATTCTCAGGCTCATCATACAAAGACACAAAGAAATAAAATGGAGAGATCATTTAATGTTTCTCCTCTAAGGGTGCATCAAACACTTTGTAATTTTGTTGGTTGGAAATAAATTTGAAGTTTCTGAAATGTTTCAGTAGGATAATATCATTATTTACCAAATGTGCCTATATCCCCTGGCAAGTTTCCCATGTCCCTCGGGGGTACACATACTCAAACTGGGAATCTTACCTTAGAGGTCATCTGGCCCAATATTCCAATCAGTTCTAGTTTCCACTGGAGTAGATGACAGGGTAGAAAGAGCCTGGAAGTCAGAACGCCCAAGTTTCAATCACTGCTTCACCAGGATATTCTTGACCAATCAGTCAATCAACAAGTGTTATTAAGTTCTAGGTGCTGTGATACATAGGCTGAAGATATAAGGACAAAAAAGAAATGAAGTCTTCCTGTTCTGAAGGGACAGCGAGAATGGGAAATGTACATATATAAGCAAATGCAAAATATTTGAAGTAAATACGAGCTAGGTGTGGTAGAGCACACCTTCAATCCCTCAGCTCTTATTGGAGTTTTCCTGCCTCTCAACCCCATGGTCTGACTATAAACTCTCACACTCCTCCCTCCACAGATGGGGCTGGTGCCATGATGTGGTGAGGTGGCTGAGTGGATAAAGGTCTGGGTCTGGAGTCAGGAAGATAGGAGTGCAAATCCAGTCTCATGCACTTACTACCTGTGTGACCCTGGGCAAGTCACTTAACCACTGACTGACTCAGTTTCCTCATCTGTAAAAGGGGGATAATAATACTATCTACCTACCAGGGTTGTTGTGAGTATAAAGTGGGATTCGTAATGTGCTTTCTAAACCATAAAGCACTATATAAATCCTAGCTATTATTCTTCTTTTCATGAAGACTTTGACGGGGAAACCATTATCCCTTCAGATACTATTGAAAATGTCAAGATATGGGGTCTTGTCAGTCTGTCAGCCAATAAGCATTTATGAAGCACCTATTACGAGTCAAGAACTAGGAAGATAGTCTTCCTGATCAACAAAGACTGATTTTTGCTGGCAAGCAGTCAGAACATGGATGGACTTCACCTACAACATACAGGAAGAAACTAACCTTCATCTTGTGCTGAGATTTTGAGGTAGTGCCCAGAAGACCAAGAAGTCTTATACCACCTGAAAAATGAATAAGCAGAAGAGAAAGATTAAATGTGTTGTACTCAGATACTTCAAGGATTATAAGAACGGCCATCCAGAGTGCCCTCTGATGAATAATTGGGACAGACATAACTGTGACAAGTGTGGTTTTTGACCTATCACTTCAACAAACCAGAAGTCAGATAAATGTATCTATGATTTTTAAAAAACTCTCCATTACAAAAAAAAGGCAAAATCACAATAACAGAAACCTCAGCAGCAGTTTTAAGAAGGACCTCCTTGCATTTCTCCCACTTGCTTCTCTCTTTTTTCCACTATTCCTGTCTAAGATCAAGACCTGAGCCCTGTACCCCAGCTCAGATTCCCCCTCATTCCTTTTGCACAATCTGTGAATCCAGGAAAACTTTCCTGGATATCAGCAAGCTGAGAATCCATATGGGCACCCTGGAAACTTTTCCTTAAATTTTCCAGATGCAGAGTGGTTACCCAGTACTATTTGCCTGAATCTTATAAATGTGATGGCTGGTCGACAGAGAGCAGGAAATTTCCCAGAGGTGTAGTTGAGGACACCATTTCTAGTTCAGAAAGTTGGTTTTCTTTCATTCCCCCTAGCATAAATTTGGAACCAGGAAAAAAAAAACAGAGAGAGAGAGTTTTCTCATCACTTGGCTCTTTGAAGTCAGTAGCCTGGAGAAGGGTAATGAAGCATGTGAGTAAAGAGAATTCCTTATACCTTTATTAAAGGGTCCTTGATGGGACCAATGAGCTGTTAATTGGAGTAGCTTGCCACCTAGTGGGAAAAATTATAAACTACACTCTCAGGGTGATATTAATGCTAAAGTGAAATTCTGGCTTTCTGTAGGCTTATGGAAAGAAGTCCACACAGAATATTGACATTCCTACTTCAGTTTCACCTCAAGTTTCACCTGGGACACCTATCAAGTACACACACAGCTTACACTTGTGTCACATTATAAAAGACAAAATTGAATTGATTACTTTGATTATATAAAGATTAAAATACTTTTGCACAAATAAAATAAATGCAACCAGAATAAGAAGAAAAAATATGAATTGGGAAAAGGTCTTTTTCACAAAAACACTTTTGATAAAAGCCAGGTATCCAAAATGTACAAGGAATTATCATAATCATTTATTATCATAAATCTAAACTATTTTCCCAATAGGAAAGTGGTCAAAGATCATGAAACAACAGTTCTCACAATAAATGCAAACAATAGTCATCTAAAAAATGCTAAAATCACTAACAGTCAGAGAAACACAAATTAAAACAACTAACATATTACCTCACACCCATCAAATTATCAAAGATGATGAAAGATGAAAAAATTCAATTTTGGCAGGGTTAGTAATGTCAGGAAATTTGAATATTGAACTAATTTACTGCTGGTAGAATTATAAAATAGTCCAACCAGTTTGTTTTGGTTTTTTTGGCAACGGGGATTAAGTGACTTGCCCAGGGTCACACAGCTAGTAAGTATCAAGTGTTTGGTCTGAGGCCAGATTTGAACTCAGGTCCTCCTGACTTCACGGCTGGTGCTCTATCCACTGTACCACCCAGCTGCCCCTATAGTCTAACCAGTTTGGAAAACAATGTAGAAATATGTGTTGCAAGTTGCAAAATTATCCATATGCTTTAAGCCATCAGTATCACTATTGGGTTTATACTCAAGAGAGTAAACATGTAACAGTACAAAAATATTCATAAGAACCCAATTTGTAATAGCAAAAAAAAAAAAAGGAAACAAGTTATGTTCCTACTGATTAGGAAATGGCTGAACATATTGTGCCATATGAACTTAATTTAAAATTCCTGCACCATAATAGAAAACAAAGAGGAAGATTTCAAAGAAATATAGAAAGATTTGTAAGAAGAGATGCAACAAACAAAAAAGAACTACAGGAAATGGCTGAACATATTGTGCCATATGAACTTAATTTAAAATTCCTGCACCATAATAGAAAACAAAGAGGAAGATTTCAAAGAAATATAGGAAGATTTGTAAGAAGAGATGCAACGAACAAAAAAGAACTACATAAACAATTACTACAATGAGGTAAATGAAGATGATTTTATTTATTTATTCTTATTTTTTAATTGAACAAAGTCACAGACCCTTTTTTATTGAAAAGGTAGCCATGAAAATATAAACAACTACCAAATCATATACTTACTTTCCCATCTATTAAATATCTTTGTAAAAATTATGCATTCTTAGACAAAAGAATAAAAAGGAAAAAGGCAATTGAGAAAGGAAAAAAGACATTTTTAAATGACAGCAAAATAGATAAAAACTACTGGACAATATTAGTACTAATTTGTAAATTATACAATCATGTAAATGGATACAATTATTGGTACAATTATATATATGTATTATACAATTATATGAATTGATAAATTAGTACCAATAATCATCTTTTCTCTTTAGAAATGGAAAACCACTAACACACAAGGCTGTGTGTACTATGGAATCAATCATAATAGCGTCTTCCTGACCTGTTTTCAAGGATTGTATACTGTGTTAGGACTCTGGAGGCTTGTATAATGTGTAGAAAGCAAAATTGATCAACATTTTCCTAAAAAATTGGTTTTTTTGCCCTGGGAAGCTGCTTGAGATCATTGAAAGGTATGTACTCTCCCACATGCCACGCTGGATAGCTAGGTAGCACAGTGTATAGGGTACCAAAGCCTGGTGTAAGGAAGATCTGAGTTCAAATGGGACCTCAGAAATTTATTAGCTGCGCAACCCTGGACAAGTCATTTAACCCTGTTAGCCTCAATTTCCTCACTATAAAATGAGCTGGAGAAGGAAATGGCAAACCACTCCAGTGTCTCTGTATTCCCACAGGGATTTAGTAAGCACTTAATAAATACTATCATAAATTTAAAGCATTTTTTTTATATGGCTATTGATAGCTTGGATTTTTTCTTCTGAAAATTGCATATTCATATCCTTTAACCATTTATCAATTAGGGAATGATTCTTATTCTTATAAATTTGATTGAGTTTACTATATTGCTTAGAAATGAAATCTCTATCAGAGAGACTTGCTGCAAAGATTCCCTGCCCCCATTTCCCGCTTCTCTTCTATTAGCTGCATTAATTTTGTTTGTGCAAAACTTTTTAATTTTATGTAATCAAAATTGTTCATTTTGCCTTTTACGAACCTTTCTACCTTTTGATTGGTCATGAACTTTTTACCTGTGCATAAATCTGACAGTTAATTTCTTCCTTGCTCCTGTAATTTGATTATGATGCCATATTTTCTGTCTAAATTATGTTTCCATTTGGAGTTTGTCTTGGTATATAGTATTAGATGTGGGTCTACACTAGTTTCTGGCAAACTGTTTTCTAGTCTTCCCAACAATTTTTGTCCAATCATGAGTTCTTGCCCCAATAGCTGGGATCTTTGGGTTTATCAAACACTAGGTTACTATGTTCATTTGTTTCTATATGTTGTATACCTAATCTATTCCACTAATCCACCCATTTATTTCTTGTTGTTCAGTTGTTTTTCAGTCATGTCTGATTCTTCATGACCCTGTTTGGTGGTTTCCTGGCAAAAACACTGGAACGGTTTGCCATTTCCTTCTCCAGTTGGTTAAGGCAAACAGAGGTTAAGTGACTTGCTCAGGGTGACAGAGTTATTAAGTATCTGGAGCCAGATTTGAATCCACATCTTTCTGATTCCAGGTCTAGCTCTATTTCTTACCCATTAACAAATTTTGACAATTATGACTTTGTAGTATGGTTTGAAATCATGAACTACTAGGCCCCCTTCCCATTTTTTTCATTTATTCTCTTGATATTCATTTGTTCTTCCAAATGACTTTTGTTATTTGTTTCTAATGTGATAAAGTTGTCCTTCAGTAGTTTGATTGGTATGGCCTTGAATAAGTAAATTAATTTAGGCAGTATTGTCATTTTTATTACATTGGCTCGGCCTACCCATGAGTAGTTAATATTAATATTTAGATCTACCTTTATGTAAAGAACGTTTTATAATTGTGTTCATAAAATTCCTGTGTATGTCTTTGGCAAGTAGATTCCTAAATATTTTAGGCTGTCTTCAGTTATTCTGAATTGAGTTTCTCTTTCTCTTCCTGCTGGATTTTGTTGATAATATACAGACATGCTGGTAATTTGTGTGGGCTTATTTTATATCCCATAACTTTGCTGAAGTTTTTCATTGTTCCAATTAGTTTTTTTAGTTTAATCTCTAAACCTCAATGCTTTCGAGATCACACAGCCTCCAGGATAGATATCCTGAGTGAGTGCACTTGCTGTGGTCTTGGCCCTCTTTAAAACTTCTGAAATAACATTTCATTTTCCTCCTATAGCATCCTGAAGAGTCATAAATAGGACTTTGACCCAAGGCAGGGACTTTCCCTAGCATGAGAAACTTGTAGGGTGGCTGATAGCACTCCTCTAAGGAAGAAGGTCTGGCCTGGGCCTGGAGGAGGGAGGGGCAGCAGGCATAGATAGCTGTGGCCAGGTGGAATCTATCACCCCAGGCTCATGAGAGTGGAGGAGGGTGAAGGCCTCCTCTAGAGGGTCAACTGGAATATCTCACAGGTTTCTTCAGGGAAAAAAAGAGTAGAAGCCAGGGATAGTGGGACTGAGCTCTGGCCAGGCTTAGAGGTGGAAAGGGACACCCAGGCCCCCTGAACTATCCACCTAGTCTCCCTCAAAGTTTACAGCGGTGGTCCAAGGCCTACCTACCCTTCTGCAGCTCTTGTTTCTGAGCAGCCCAGGAACCAGAAACAGTGGGAGTGGGCATTGAAGGGAAATTGTATCTGTACCCGTTCAGGAGGGCCATAGCTTACTGGGAATACCTCTGCCTTCTGGATTCCAGGGATTTTTTTCTCTCAAAGTTTTGTCCTTCTCAGCTTACCAAGCTTTCTTATGGTCTGGAGTCCAGGTGTTGGTAAGAGAAACTAGATTAAAGTGTGATGAGCTGACCTGTAGGCTGGGGTGG